ATTCCTTCGCTTCTAATGTTTCAAAAACAAGAGCCAAAAACATCAATATAATTATTAAAATTAAATTGAATTAAAGTATCAAGCCTTGTTTCATCCTCGAGCGAAAAGTTAGGAATCAGGATTTAGGATTCCTAAATTTTCGCAAACATGAGAACTCTTATGTAGCAAAAGAATCATATTTAAAAAAAAATAATAATTATAATTAAAGCTCTACTTTGTATGGAGTACTTTTTTTTTTAAAAAAACAGATATACTAAAGAACTCTGGATTATTTACCTAACGTGTTCTTTCCTATTTTTCTATATATCTGCATACATATATATATATATATATATATATATATATATATATATATATATATATATATATATATATATATATATAGAGAGAGAGAGAAAAGAAGAAGATAAGGACAAAAGGAAATCATTTCTTTACCAATGCGTTTCGGTTACTGATGGACTTTATCAATGCAAAAGAACGCTCAAAAATATTCTTAAGTCTAACTGTGAATGTCAAGGTAAACTATGGAGGATGCTAAGTGATGTAATTTAACGACTAATAAACAAAACTGAATAAATTTTATTGTTATTGTTGAATTTTTTTTTCGTATTTGTATCTCTGTGTGTATGTGTGTGTATATGTGTATACTGGTTTCTTATAATAAGACAGTATGTATGTATGGAGAGTGAATATACGTATACATACGCATGCTGACAAAAACACACACAATACAAAAAAAATAGAAATAGAAATAAGACAGAGGGATCATTAAAAGATAAGAATACAGATATCTGTCCTCGACCTTTCTCGGACCAATCTTAATTGTTTTATTACCCTTTACGCAGAAGAACTTTTTCACTGCCAGTTCAAGAAAGACATTTGTGTCACTACCACACAGAAAAAGAAATGTTTAACATTGAGAATGTTTAACATCAAAAAACATAAGAAAAATTAATTCCTTTTAATAATATGTGGAAATATCCACTCTTTGTCTGATGAAGGTCACGAGACCGGAAACTCCTGTAGCAAAATTATGAAAAATAAAGCATTATATTTTTTTTTAAATCCACATTACAACCAAAAATGTTTGCTGTTCTTTTAATATATAAAGAGGTTATAGTTGTTCCAAAGAACAACTATAACCTTTGATTAGATATATATATATATATATATATATATATATATATATATATATATATATATAATTAATGTAATTAATATTTATTATGTTAGTTTAATTTAGTTTATTTTTAATAATAGAAAGTTTCTAGTTAACCGTTATTCATAGTGTCTTTTTTTCAGATACATTTTATTTATACCTGAATTTTTGCACATACACACGCGTGTATAGATAGATAGATAGATAGATAGATAGATAGATAGATAGATAGATAGATAGATAGATAGATAGATAGATTAGTCATTTCAACCGAAGCAAGGTAATAAATCTTCTAAGACGCAAATGGATAATGACTGTGAAAGAATATGAGGAAATTTATTATGAAGAGAATAAAATAAAAAAAGGCAAGGATTAAGAATGGCGATTGACATTGCAGTTAAATTTAAATAAAGGTCAAAGTTGATTGGAAAACGAGGAGCTGCGAGAAGAAATTGTTAACATAGATCATCAAGCAATTTCAACTGTAAAATGATGAGCCCTAACTGCCAATTAATTACTGAGCTTAAATCAATCAATAATCAGACAAAATCGCAAAAAAAAATCACAAAGAAAGAAAATATTGGGTTGGTGCATAATTATCAGACATTTTTGAACAATATTTATTATGAAAAAGGAAATATAACAATTCAATAATAACATTTTAAAATCATTATTCCGGAGTGTATGATTACTGACACGGATTTTTATAATATGAAAATAAAATATTTTTATTTTAAAAAAGTAAACAAAACAGCAATTTTTATTAACAAATAACTCGCCTACAAAAACACCTGATAATTATGCACCAACCCAATATTTAATCTGCATCATGACTTCAAACTGTAATTTTTATAATAGATCAAATAACTTTAATGAAACATGTTGAAATGTAACTCAAGCTTTCTGTGAGCAATAAACACTTTCCTTTCTTCCTATTTAGCATTGCAAGGGGGCCCCTTCCCGATTACTTGTTGGAAACTGCACATTCTACGAGAGAATAAAAATAGTCATCAAGATTATATTGGGTTGGTGCATAATTATCAGGCATTTTTAAATAATATTTATTATGAAAAAAGAAACATAACAATTCAATAATAATATTTTTAACTGATTATTCCGGAGCGTACGATTATCGACACGCATCTTTATAACCTGAAAATAAAATAATATTTTTATTAAAAAAAGTAAACAAAACAGCAATTTTTATTAACAAATAACTCGCCTACAAAAACGCCTGATAATTATGCACCAACCAAATATTTTCTCGCGTCGAAAGATAATCAGCTAACAAATCCACAAAAGAGCACAAACTGAAAACAGGGTTTGACTAATTTATCATAAAAGTAATAACACGAAACAAAACCCTCCAACATTTCTCTCATAGGCGAAGACGTGGCAAGAGTCTCACTGTTCTATCGCTAATACCATGGAAAGTGCTCAGACGAACTGCATTTCTTGGTTCCGTCAGGTCTGGCCTTCATGGCTAGGACCCGCCATACCACTTACATAGTAGCAAACCACTCAAATTCCCTCCACGAACCACTGTTCTGTAGAACTGACTCCCAAGCGGATGTTTCCCCTATCACTACAATCTTAACATGTTCAAATCTATAGTCAACCGCTATCTTCTCCTCTTATCCATATAAAGCACCTCTTAACGTAACCCTCTGTACAGGGTGAACTTAACTGTAAAAAAAAAAAAAGAGTGGAACAAGAAGAAAAGTGTCAGAATTTACAACGAGTCTCAATCAGTAAATTTTCCATCGTTCAGTCATTCGTCTGTATTATGCGCATGCGCATGCGCATCCAGACAGTCTGAAATTTTAGCTTTCACATGAAATAAAAATACCATCAATCTCAATACAACAATTACCAATCCTTCATTCGAGTCATTATTTATTATTTATAATCTTACTTTTATTCCCATTTAATACATTTATTTGGGCAGATTAATGGATTAGACTGCTAATCGTAGGCGCTCGACGTAAATATTTGCTAAGATTTGTTTCGTGTGGTATAGAGTGACAAAGAGCAAATTCTAATTAGAGTAAGGTCTGTAAGGTTATCTTACCAATCCTCGCCACCAAGTTCCCTTCCATTTTTACTAAGGTTAATCTGGCACAGGGCCATAACGGTGAAGGAATATTTTATTTCACGAATTTTCCAAGGGCGTAACATTGTCCTGTGAAATAAACGAAAAATGCCATAAAAAATAAGATTTTGGTGTGGAACAATGTCATCCTATTTGTCTTTTTTATTTTTTTTTTTAATATTAACGTTCTATGTTTAAAAAAAAAAAGCTGGTTAATAAGCCAGTCAAACGGGCTATTTTTACAGGGGGGGGTGATATTGTGAACTTGATTTGGACCCGACCAAACTTAGAAAAAAACTGAAGCACTTTTCTCACTGAATCTTTCGAGTTCTTTTAACAAACACACACACACATACCCTCACTTTATCTTTCTTGCGCTCTCTCTCTCTCTCTCTCTCTCTCTCTCTCTCTCTCTCTCTTTCTGTGAAATTAAGTTATTGTTGATACATCATTTTCATAACATTTTATCAGTTTCTCTATGCCAGTCTGTCACTTTCTGTGTTTCTCAATCTATCTATCTATCTATCTATCTATCTATCTATCGATCGATCGATCGATCTATAGGTTTGTCTGTCTGTGTGTCTGTCTATCTATCTATGAAACTAAAATATCTCTCTCAGAGCAAATTAAAGACTCTTCGTCTCTCTCTATATATATCAATCTATCTGAGTTTATTAATATCTGTCTGTCTGCTCATCTTTCTCAGCCTCTTCATCTCTGTCGCTCTCTCCCTCTCCCTATCTATCTATCTATCTATCTATCTATCTATCTATCTATCTGTCTGTCTGTCTGTCTGTCTATCCATGAAGCTAAAATATCTCTCACAAAGCAAATTAAAGACTCTGTCTCTCTGTCTCTCTCTCTGTCTCTCTCTCTCTCTCTCTCTCTATATATATATATATATATATATATATATATATATATATATATATATATATATCTGAGTTTATTAATATCTGTCTGCTCATTTTCTCATTCCTTCATCTCTGTCGCTCTCTTCCTCTCCCTATCTATCTATCTATCTATCTATCTTTCTATCTATCTATCTATCTATCTATCTATTTCTGTTTATTATCTATTTATCGATCTAGCTATATATATATATATATATATATATATATATATATTATCTATCTCTCTATGTTCATCTCTACCCGCCTCTCTCTCTCTCTCTCTCTCTCTCTCTCTCTATCTATCTATCTATCTATCTATCTATCTAAGCCTTTTCATATCTGCCTTTCTGTCTATATATCTCAATCTGTACATATCTATTTTTCACGTCTTTGGGAAACGAGAGGGTTAGTAAGAAAAATTACTTGTAAATTATTTAAAACTTTTGCTTTTTCTCTCTCGTCACTTTCTTCATATCTTCCTCTCTCTCAAGTTCTCTCTCTCCCCCCATCCCCTCTCTCTCTCTCTCTCTCTCTCTCTGTCCTCCTCCCCACTTTCTCTCACTTACCCTTTTTCTTTCTTCTCTTTTCGTCACCCTTTTCTTCACTCTGTCTTTTACTCTCTCTTTTTGCTTTCCCTCTGTCTTCCTGTATATCTTCCTCTTTTCAGTTTATCTTTTCTCTCTTCTAATTGCATACCCTTCCTTTCTTTCGCTTTCTCCGTTTAACTAGCCTATCCCTCTCTTCTTATTCCTCCCCTACTTTCCCTCTGACTCTACCTTCATTTATCACCCTCTCTCTCTCTCTCTCTCTCTCTCTCTCTCTCTCTCTCTCTCTCATCTCTACCTTCTCTCGATAAATTCATGAAAGGTGTCAGTTCGCTTTTCGGATTGTTTAAAGAAGGCTTTGATCCTGTCACTTGGTAAATCATAGGACTTCAGACGGGAACTGAACTTCCTCTCTTGCCAAAAGTCAGAACTGACTTCTCTGACGTGTAATTCATCCCCGTGAACCAATGTTTAGAAAGTTAGCCTTCACAGATGACTACTGTTGGGCTGAGTTCAATCCTCATCGGATGCTCCACAACTGTGATCTTGTTCCATACAAAACTAACCATATTATATATCAATAAGCCCAACGTCTCGGCGTCATTCCTTGCAAAATCTACTTAACATGAAACAAAACTAAGAACCGCGAAAAACAAAAATAGTCATTTAATACATTAACAGTCTGCTTTGACGCTGAAATAATTGTAGACTAGCAGGAATACTCGACTATACCAGGGAAAAATACCGTCAAACATAACAACACAGGTAAAGGAAAAATATGTTCTACAATATATGTAGAAAGACTATATTGCATCTATTTTTATATCAGCTGCTAAGAAAGTCTGTTCACTATGTCCAGCGAGACAATTTTTCTCTCCGGAATCTATCTTGCATATCTATAAGTCTAACATTCATCCATGCTTAGAATATTGCTGCAATATATGGTCCGGTGCCCCTGCTATTTATCTGGAGCTCCTTGATAAAATCCAAAGAAGAATTAGCAATATTATTGGTCCTGATCTAGCCACTCGGCTTCTGTCACTTACCCATCGCCACAAGGTTGCTTCTCTGTGCCTTTTTTTATAAATAATTCCATGGTAATTGTTCGGGTGAGCTCTTCGCTTTGTTTTCATATTGTTAATACTTATTGGGGATAGTTTTTAAATTGCTGCTTTATTCTCCCCCCCCCACTGACAATAAATTGTATATATGGAAACTAGTTAGGATTTTTATAGAGACCATGAGGTATTATGGTGAATGTAGTTAGAAAGGTAAGTAAGAATGTGTTGTTTTGGTGTTAGGAATATTGTGGTCAGTGTTCGTGGATAGGTAAGTTTAAAGTTAAGAAAGAAGAAACCCGCCTTTTTCCCCCGTTCCCCGTTCCCTTTTTTGGCCTTGTGCCACATTTTGTAAATATTTACAAATAAATATCTCTCTTCGCTTTGGTACCTAGACTGTATGAATTTAAGTGCAATACTAGACTAGCAGCGAGATCTCATTAGTTTACAGTTCAGCAAGCTAGATGCGGCCGTAAGTTCTATGCTGACAGTTTCTTCTCTCGCACTTCTCGATTGCGGAACTCCATTCTGGCTACATTCCTTCCAGCCAACTTTAATCTGCAATAATTTAAATGAAAAGTCAATCGCTATCTACTGTCCTCCAGGTTACTCTCTTCTCTTTCTGCTCATCATTGATGTGTCTGTCCCTAATTATTCCACACCCTGTAACCCCCATTGCGTTTTAATGACTGTACTGCTTTGGTCGGAGGTGGTGGGTACAGATTAAAAATTGTTTTCTTTTAAATACCATATTCTTTCAGGACCTATACAATCACGGTTCTCCAAAGCTATCTTTATTATCTGTAAGTTGCTTACTGGGGAAAATAGTCTGAAATTCAGGGCCGTCATTTTCTTAGACTGGCAATCAACCAATGCTTGAGAGGCCATTCTACCGTGCTATTTAATTCGTAACTAGTGGGGAAACCGATGAAGTCATGTCTTTCCAAAAGACATCAGTGAAAGGTGAAGACAACAGACGGGGTCGGAACTTGAACTGTGCTCGCAGGTTCCACTTTCTTCGACAATAACTGTTAAGCCGACCACACTTGCTCTTATTTCCTATAAGGCAAACATATTATATATATATATATATATATATATATATATATATATATATATTGTCATCCACAGACAGACAGTTTTGCTGTATCACAGCTCATCAGTGTGGCCAGACGTCCGGTTGCCTCTAGCTAGGATTGAAACCAGACTGAATTAATGTCAGTCAGGGATTCTTCACCTAAACCGTTGGTGCACGGCATGGATGAAGGTGAATTCAAGCGTATTTATTTTTTAGATAAACACACAGTGACTGAGAGAACTCTATTCGATTTACAGAAGAGTCTTGCATCATTAGCCATAATAGTCACTATATATATATATTTGTAGCTGCATAAGTTTCAGATCAAGAATTATGCGCCCAAGAGCCTCTTATATTTCCTGTGAAAATGGTTCTTTTTACATTTAAAACAACTTCTATAAAATCAGAAAATTTGTGCAAAATACCTCAACTTGCCCTTATCAGCAAAATACCTCAGCTTTCCCTTATCAGCAAAATACCTCAACTTCCCCTTATCAGACCTTGCATTGGGGTCGCCCCGTGTCGTCAAAGACGTTCTATTTGCTTATGGGGCAATAAATCCAGTTTTTGCGATAGATATACCCGGCTAACAAGATAGATATACCCGGCTAACAAGATGGGGTTGCTACGTTAAACTGAAACATTCCAACTATTACCTTGTAACGTTACATTGACTGAGAAACAATAATACATTCGAAGAAGATATTATAACAGACATTCAATATCTAAATTAGTGATTCTTAATTTTTAAAAATAACAAAAGAAATTGAAAATTTAAATTAAAAAATATTGTTAAATGACGATTGAATTACTTTTTACGGCTTATCAAGCTTTTGCGGGTGATATGTCCCGGAAAGGGATATATTTATTCGAAGTAGCAAAGTGGTTTTGGACTACTGTAACTGAGTAGGACAATCTAGCAGGTAACCGTAATGGACTGGTCCTCATCTTAGTGGTAGGCAATAGGCGTAGGCAATAGGGGAAGACAATAGGTGTATTCAATAGGCGTCCTATAGGCGTCGTTCTGTACCTCCACATCAGTCTGTATTTATGGCTGACACCAGCCAATCATATTACCGTGAGGGGGAACCCAAGTGTATGCATATTCATTAGATCAGCGGGTTATTTAAAATCAGAAGATTTTTTTTTAGATTGTAAGTATTCTTTTTGAGTGGGTGTGGGTAGATAATAATGATTTACTGATAAGAAGTCTTACTATTTCCAAATAAAGTTGTAAAAACATTTTCGGTAATAACTGTCGAATATCTTTGCATCTATCAGTATTTTTGTTTTTACCTTTTGTCCACTTTGAAGTTATTAAAACCTTACTCTGTAGCACTTAAATCGGCTTTTACATCTAATTTAAAAGCTTCGAATTCACAAAGTGATTATTAACTTCAGACTACGAAATTCAGAACATTTCATTAAAAAATGGCTGCCATTTCTTTTTCTGCGTAGAACGAATTGATTTGGTCCGAACATCGCAGATGTTGGCCTTATTCAGCAAATAAAACTATAATTTCCAGCAAATATTAATTTAAAAAAAATGAAGCTGTTAATGATGTGAAATGCAGCGAACGTCTCCGTGTGTTTTACTGTTGCTGCTTGCTGCTGCTGCTGCTGCTGCTGCTGCTGGTGTCTGCTAGTACTCTTGCACATGTTTTTGCGTTGAAATGTCCAAAATAGCCAGAATAGGACGCTGGCAAATTCGCCTCTTGTATATTTCTGCCACGTTTGCAACACCCCCCCCCAAATGTCCGCCAATTTCGTGCTTCTACTTTAATTGTGAAACCTTGCAGAGTTCTTTGTGTCCAGATGGCGGACACCTGGCAGCGTCGGCGTACGGTGCAAAGACCTCATTCAAAGTTACTTCATCCTATATTCACAAGCATTAGACACTTACCACGCACACGTGCTCAGTCCAACTCGACAAATATGTACACTTGCATACAAACATATGTGTAATAAAAAAAAAAAAAAGACCCCATAATCTTCGTCTTTTTTGTCGTTGCTTTTGTGGTTACTCTGTTGGTCGTTTAGCTTTTGGGATCTAACAGCGAAATCTCCTTCACAAAGGGAAAACGTTTATCACTATTTACGTCCTCAGAGACTCCACTACTTGATTTAAAAAAAAAAGCGACATGAATTAAATTATTCTTTACTTGAGGTGTGTCTATTTGCTTATGGGGCAATAAATCCGGTTCTTGTGATAGGTACTTACCCGGCTAATAAGATGGCGTTGCTACGTTACATTGAAATATTCCAACTATTACCTTGTAACGTTACATTAACAGAGAAAGAATAATACATTCGAAGAAGATATTATAACAGACATTCAATATCTAAATTAGTGATTCTTAATTTAAAAAAAAAATAACAAAAGAAATTGAAAATTTAAATTAAAAATATTGTTAAATGAAGATTAATTTGCTTTTTACGGATTATCAACCTTTTGCGGTTTATGTAAAGCCAGAATACTTTTTTTTTTTTTAGATTTTAAGAATTCTTTTTTTTTTTGAGGGGGGTATAGATAATAATGATTTACTGATACTAAGTCCTACTAATTAATCTATAGCTGAGTGATGAAAGTCTAGGTACAATAGAAGAATGTTCATCAGAACAATTACCATGAAAGTATTTATAAAAAAAAAAAAGGCAGAGGGAGGCTACGTTACGGCGGCGGGAAAGAGACTGAAGCCGAGATGCCAGGTAAGGAACAATAACATTGCAGATTCTTATTTGGATTTTATAAAGAATCTCTATAGTAAAATAAACCCAGGCCTAAAATGATAAGACCTTGTCGCCAATCCAAATAATGCGCTTAAATTCATGAAGTCTAGTTACAATAGCGAAATGCTCACCAGAACAATTAACATGAAAGTACTTATAACAAAAAAAGGCCCAGGGAATTTTCGGTACGGCGGCGGGAAAGAGACTGAAGCCGAGATGCCAGATCAGGACCAATAACATTGCAGATTCTTCTTCGGATTTTATCAAGAATCTCTAAATACATAGCAGAACCACCAGATCAGATGTGTAAGCAATATTCAATGCCTGGACGAATGGTAGAAATATCAAGGTGAAAGATAGTTTCTGCTGCGAAAGATTGTCTAGCTTGACACACTGAAGATGTTAATGTAATACCAATTCGCAAAAAAAGAATTATTCTTACAAT